CTCTACCACTGAGCCACCTTCTCAGCCCCCCAGATCAGACTTTATAAATGAATCATTCCTTCTCTCCTTTTTCATTTAGATTCAGATTTATTCTTTCTGCTAGTCTTTTCTTCCTCCTCCTCCTCCTTCACCTCTTCCTTCTCTTCCTTTTCTTTTTCCTTTTCCTCCTGTCCCTTCATTCTCCCTCCTCCTCTCTATTTTCTATTCTCTCATCTATTCTTTTATCTCTAACAACTTAGAACACAGATCTGTGTATCTTCCCCTAGGTATTTGCTTAGGATAGATACCCAAAGTAGAATTGGTTGGTGTATGAAAATTTGGGGGCTAGAGGCATAGTCAGTGATAGAGTAGATATTTACCATATACAAGGTCCTAGGTTTAGTCTCCAGAACCTTAACTAAAATTATAATGATTTTGAAAGTTTCCAATTACATGTTGCTAGAGTAACAGATTTTTGCAAACAAATGACTGAATTTAGGCATTACATTGCAGATAGACATAGTGACTTTTGGTATTTTTGCTTTATATTAAAAAATGTGTATACAAGTTTCATTTTCTTTCCCATTGAATTATAGTTTTAAGTTATCTTTTACTCAGTAATGTGTGTTTGTCAGATTGGTCATAGAATGGCTGTTTTGATGGTGTTTCACCAAGGGAAAATGGAATTTTCTTACATTCTGAAATATTTCAATAATTTTTCATATGTATTATATATAGCCTTATCTATATAGTCCCTGTGTAATTTACAAAAAGAAGACAGTGACTCTTAAACTGATAAAAATATATGTATTTAGGTGTCAACTTCTGGAGACAATATGGTGGAGTGTCAGTTAGAGACACACAACAGCAAAATGGTTACCTTCAAGTTTGATGTTGATGGTGATGCACCAGAGGATATTGCAGACTATATGGTAAGTGTAGTACAACAAAATTATTTTCTCTTTAGTTTTCTCTGTCTCTTTTTCTCCCTAATTCTTCACTTATTTAGAATTATCTCTTTTTAAAGGATGCAATTAGTTTTTAAAATCTGTACAGAGCTAAATTGTTGATGATCAGAGATTAGTCACTGTATCTTCTCTGCTTTCTGTATATTCATCTGGAGAAATATGAGAGGATTTTATTGTAGATAAATGTCTGTTCATCCTTAGCTCTATGATATATATCTGATGAGTTTAGAAAAAACAGTTTGTTGCATGTGCTTTAATTGAATCAGTATCTTTAAAGGTGAAACCTAAGTATCAATAGTTTGCAAAGGTACCCTGGCAATTCTAATGTGTTAGTCACTGATCTAATGTCTTGCATCTAAGTGTTCAGGTTATGTTCCTTAGTATATTTTTAGTCCTTTAGATATTCTTTGAATTTTTAAACTTAATATTTTTGGGGGGAGAGCCAGTTCTGGGGCTTGAACCCAGGGCCTGGGCACTGTTCCTGAGCTTTTGTGCTCAAGGATAGCACTCTATCACTTGAGCCACAGTGCACTTCCAGCTTTTTGGTGGTTAATTGGAGATAAGTGTCACAGATTTTTTTTACCTGGGCTGGTTTCCAACTTGGATTCTCAGATCTCTGCCTCCTAGCTACGATTATAGCTTAAGCCACTAGCGCCCAGCTTTAAGTTAGTATATTTTCAGATTTTTCATGGGGATGGGACTAGGGTGGCAAATACAATACATAATGCTTTTGTATATGCATTTGTGGCTAAAGTAGAAGTAAATGATTTAAGTCAGTAGTTTTGTCAGTTTTGTTTCTAGTTTAATATATTATGTTCTGAAATGTGTCTATTTCATTTCATTCACGGTTAGCCTGAATGAAGATCTGTGGCCATTTGTTGTCTTTGGAGATGTTTCATTTTTCACTTGTGATTTAAAGCTTTTAGGATTGGACATTCTTGGGACTTTTTTGGCCAGCCCTGGGGCTTGAACTCAGGGCCTGAGCACTGTCTTGGAGCTTTTGTGCTCAAGGCTAGCTCTACTGTTTGAGCCACAACTCCACTTTAGGATTTTGGGTTTTTAGGGGAGTGGTTAACTAGAATAAGAGTTTCACAGACTTTCCTGCCTAGGCTGGCTTTGAACCACGACCATCAGATTTTAGCTTCCTTAGTAGCTAGAATTACAGCTGTGAGATCCCGGTGACCAGCTGGACATCCTAGTTTTAAGTATCACCTCAGTTACATTCTCAATTAACAGATTTATATAGCTCCAATATTTTGGAATATATTGCCTTTTTTCTCTAATAGGTAGTTTCAATCTGAAAAATATCAGTGACTACCCAGGCATAGGGAGCTCACACCTATAATCCTAGCTATTCATGAGGCTGAGATCTGAGTAGAGTGCTTTGTTAACAGCCTGGGAAGGACATTCTGAGACTCTTATCTCCAATTAACAACAAAAATCTGGGAATGGAGGTGTGGCTCAAGTGGCACTGGCCTTGAGCATAAAAGCTCAGGGACAGAACCCAGGCCCAGAGTTCAAGCCCTAGGATTGGCAGGAAAAAAATGTATGGCTTCAAAACAGTATAATTCAATGTACTATGTAGCATTGGTCATATTTATTATTTTACTAATCTCTTGAAACAATTAGGTTTATACTCAGTTTTATTTTCTTTTTTTAACCATTAACACAGTATTATAATTTTGAAGAAACAATTCATTTTTGTGAATAAACTGACTATTTTGGGGCAGGTTGAAGATAATTTTGTGCTGGAAAATGAGAAAGAAAAATTTGTAGAAGAATTGAGAGTTATAGTAGGTCAAGCTCAAGAGATCCTTCATGTCCATTCTGCTGCAGAAAAGGCCGCTGGTGTTGACTCTGTTACCTTGGAATCCAATAATAACCAAGTAAGACCAATTGTTTAGCAAGTAGGTCTTTTTGGATATATAGCCTGGACATCTTTATTTATCTATTCATTTTTTAATTTAGACAGGATCATCTGAACAAGTACAGATAAATTCTGCATCTACTCAAACCAGCAGTGAGTATATTTAATAAAATTTACCATTGGGCTTTTGAAACATGGCATTTGGAAACTTTATATACTTTGACTGAGAAAGATATTAGCCAATAAAGTGATTTGACTAGTTGGGATTTTCCCGTACATTAAAAAAGGACTTCTAACTCAGAGATAAAAATCCAAAGTGCTAGTTCTTTATATGATGAATTTACTTCTCAGTTGTTATATGATATGTTGCCAGAAAGCAGACACAATACTGATGACATTTAATAGCCTAAACTTAACTGGTAAGTTGTTTATTCTGATATGAGATATAAGTTTCTTAACTAAAACCATTATGATCTAAGTGTGCCTCTTTTGGTTTTGGGGTTTTTTTTTTTGAGTGATTGTGGGGCTTGAACTCACAGCCTATCCCTAAACCTCCTTGTGTTCAAGGCTAGCACTCTACCACTTGAGCCATGGTGCCTGCCACTTCAAGTTTTTGAGTGGTTAATTGGAGTTAAGAGTCTCATGGGAACTGCCCCATGAGACTCAAAGCCCAGGCTGGCTTTGAACTGCAACCCTCAGATCTCAGCCTCCTAAATAGCTAGGATGACACACAGGTGCCACTGGCAACTTGCTAGAAAGTTTTGTATTTTGTTTTAATAGTCATTTATGTCTTGATTCTCTCCTCTGATGATATACTTCAGCTCTGATCACTAACAGTTGTTTTTTATAAATCAGATAATAAGGTAAACGTTCAGTCTAAAGCTAGAGTTCTGTTTTCTTTTTTGACAATTTTATCTGAGAAGTTGGCTCAGCGGTAGAGTGCTCGTCTCATATGCATGAGGCCCTGGGTTTGATTCCTCAGCACCACATAAACAGAAAAAGCTGGAAGTGGCACTGTGGCTCAAGTGGTAGAGCACCAGCCTTAAGCTGAAGAGCTCAGGGACAGCGCCCAGACCTAGAGCTCAAGCCCCATGACAAAAAAAAAATGAATGCATAGGCATTGACGTTGCCTTTCTAAGGAGTTACACTACTTGAGTTCTCCTTTGAATTTGCCATATTTCAGTTAATACATTTGTAACCACTTGCATGCCACAAGTATGTGGTATGCAACTTGTAAGTTTAAAGACCAATTCTAGCTTCCACAGATAAGGGATATCATGCACCCTTTGTCTTGCTGTGTCTGACTTAGTTCACTTAATATAATTTTTTCCAAGTGAAGATGAATGAAGAGGAGAAGGGGTGGAGAATGCTGTCACGAGTTTTATGTATAGACTACAAAATTAAGAAAAGTAAAGGAAGGAGGTAGGTCAGGAGGAGATGGATGAGAATGTTGAAAGGGTTAACACTGATCAAGATGCATTTTATTCATAAACTGCTTTGTTAAGTGGCAACTCCTTTGTACAACTACTTGAAGATAATTAAAAAAAAAAAGAATGGGTAGGATGCTGGGTGCCTGTGGCTCACGCCTGTAATCCTACCTGCTCTTGAGGCTGAGATCTGAGGATCAGGATTCAAAGCCAGAGATTCAAAGCCAGACAGGATAGAAAACTCTGAAATTGTTATCTCCAATTAACTACCAAGTGAAAAACTAGAAGTGGAGCTGTGACTCAAGTAGTTGAGTTCTAGCCTTGAGTAAAAATGTAGGCTTGAGCAAGAAGAGCTTACAGACAGTGCCTGAGCCCTGGGTTCAAGCCCCATGACCAGCACCAAAAGAAATTGTTTTAAAGTTGTGGGAAAGGGGTGGAAGCAACAACAACTACAAGAACAACAACAAAAGTGTGGGAGTAATTGAACCAGATAATATCCTGAAATTTGATTTCACTGTTTTAAGATGCCATGGGTTTTTGTTGTCTTAATCTTTTTTCCCCCCAGTCCTGGGGCTTGAACTCAGGCCTGGGTGTTGTCCCTGAGCCACTTTGTGCTCAAGGCTAGCACTCTACCACTTGAGCCAAGGCTCCACTTCTGGCCTTTTCTGAGTAGTTTATTGGAGATAAGAGTATCACAGATTTTCCTGCTGGGGCTGGCTTGAAACCATGATCTCCCAACCAGCTGAGTAGCTAGAATTATAGGCATGAGCTATTGGACCCAGCTTTTACTTTATTTTTATATTATCATACAGTAAAATTGACTTTTTTCTTTGGTCGAAAAATGCTGCAAATATTAATTCTTTTATAAATTTATACCACCATAATTACTACTTAAGGACCACCATAATCAGAATGCAGAAAGTAAGTTTTAGTGGGAAACATGCATTTCCATTAATTGAAAATTAGTGCCTTGGTTGTATATACTATTAATACGTATCTAGTGTTTACATCTTCAGACTGTTTTTCAGGATTGGAAGATCTGTTTTTAATATTCATAATTATCTTAGCATAGTTTGAAATAGAGATGTAACATAAATTGGCTTTTTAACCTGGTTTCCTTAGTCAGTGAACAAATTGACCATTGCTAGAATAATACTTTTTTGTTGATCATAGGCCTTGAACTCATGGCCTGGATACTATTCTTGAACTCTTTTTGTTCAAGACTAGCACTCTACCATTTTGCACCACAGCTCCACTTCCAGTTTTCAGGTGATTAATTGGAGATAAAAGTCTCTTGGACTTTCCTTGCCCAGACTGGCTTTGAACCACGATCCTCAGATCACAGCCTCCTGAATAGCTAGGATTAAAGACATGAGCCACCAGTGCTGGGCAGGATATTAATTTTTTGCTAATTCTTTCTACAGATGAATCTGCTCCTCAATCATCCCCAGTTGGTCGATGGCGATTCTGTATCAATCAAACAATAAGAAACCGTGAGGCTCAGTCTCCTCCTTCTCTCCAGCCTTCCGTGGCTATGATTGCTGGGCTATATCCATTTCCTAGTACGTTTTTATTCTTAGCCAGGTTTGTCCAGAGTTGGAAGATATGGATGTAAAATGTATACCATATTTTTTTATGACAGTCCTATGGCTTAAACTCAGAGTCTGGTTACTATGCTGAGCTTTTTTGCTCAAGGCTAGTGCTTTGCTATTTGAGCCATAGCTCCAATTCTAGCTTTTTTGGTGCTTAACTGGAGATGAGCATTTCATGGACCTTCCTGCCCAGGATGGCTTTGAGCTATGATCCTCAGATGCCAGCCTCCTGAGTATATGGGATTACAGCATGAACCACCATATTTTTATTGATATTATAAAGGTGATATACAGAGGGGTTAAGTTACATACATCAGGTAAAGAGTACATTTCTTTCTTGACAATGTCATCCCTTCCCTTCTCTTCACTTGCTTTCTCCCAGTTGTTCCCCTCCCGTCCCCACTCACAAATTGTATAGTTGATTTTCAACATAGTGTTCAGTGAGTACCATTGCTGCATTTGTTTACCCTTTGTCCCTCCATTTCTCTGTCTACCCTTGCAATCCCAATGAAACATAAATGAACAAACAGAACAAAAAGAAAACAAAAGCACTAAAAAAATCTTGTTTTCATTTGCTGGAGTTCATTTTATGTCATATTTTTAGTTTAATGTTTATGATAGTTTTCATAGGAATTTTAATGACAATATTAATATACACGGTCAGTAGTATTTATTGAATACTTATGAAGATAGAAAAATGCTTTTTCTTGACTAGATATTGTGTTTTGTTGTTTCTTTTTTTTATTGTGAAAATACCATACAGAGGGGTTACAATTACATGGGCAAGGTAATGACTACATTTCTTATCAAGCATTGTTGCCTCCTCCTTTGTTTCCCCTTGCCATCCCTTCCCATCTCTCCCCCCCCCCCTTTTTGTTGTTTTGTTTTTGTTTTTGGTCAGGTGTGGGGCTTGAATGCAGGGCCTGGGCACTGTTCTGGAGTTCTTTTGCGCAAGGCTAGTGCTCTACCACTTTGAGCCACAGTGCCACTTCCAGTTTTTGAGTAGTTAATTGGAGATAAGAGTTTCACAGGGACTTTTCTACCGGGGCTGGCTTCGAACTGTGATATTCAGCGCTCAGCCCTCCTGAGTAGCTAGGATTAAAGGTGTGAGTCGCCAGTGCCCATCTTACTGTGATGTTTTGAGTCTTATTTATTCTTTTTTTTTTGTCAGTCGTGGGGCTTGAACTCTGGGCCTGGGTGCTGTCCCTCAGCTCTTCAGCTCAAAGCAAGCGCTCTACCACTTGAGCCACAGCGCCACTTCCTTGAGTCTTATTTATAAGTATATTCTCATACTGACTTTCATTTATATCTAGCTTTCCCTGTCTTTTTTAGTTTGGGAACTAGTCCATTTCATTCATCAGTACATACTTACCTATTCTATTCCTTTGTTATTATTCCAGGTTCAAGAAACACAAGTAATAAGGAAATATCAAAGGATACACTGTACTCTACAGAAAGTCATTCATGCCAGCATGCAATTTTCACCTCCAATTTACATCACAAGGATGTGGTTGATGGTAAGATTTCTGAATGTGCTAGTGTCGAAATTGAGCAGCCATCTATGCTTTACCCAGGAGAAGATAACAGGCAGATAATAGCACCAACTCCTAGTAGTCCCAATTATTCTGCTACTTCGGTGTGTGCAGTTCCACTTGAATGTAAGGGACTCGTCAGCCAAGCAGGCATGTTCATACCTGTGTGTCCATGTCAACCAACTGCCAACCAGCCTGATGTACTCATGTCTCATCCTGGTGAATCAACTCCGGTTGCTGGTAATACTCTTCCAACTTTGGCATTTGTATCTGATCGAACACCTCAGTCCTTACCAGTACAGCAGCCAACTATGGATGCAGAGTTTATTTCCCAAGAAGGAGAAGCAACAGTGAACATTGATACAAGTTCTCCTAAGGCTGTCATTCCCACTCAGACCCCTGGCCTTGAACCAACTACTCTTCTACCCACTGCTGTCCTGGAATCAGATGGGGAAAGACCTCCAAAAATGGAGTTTGCAGACAACCGAATCAAAACACTGGATGAAAAATTAAGAAACTTGCTCTATCAGGAGCACAGCATCTCTAGCGTCTATCCAGAGAGTCAGAAGGATACCCAAAGCATCGACTCTCCATTTTCTTCCTCTGCTGAAGAAACACTATCTTGTCCAATGCCAGAAGTCATTGCTATCAGTCATTGTGGAATTCAAGATAGCCCTGCACAATCCCCTGTCTTGCAACAGACAGTCCCTAAGATTCTGTCCAATGTGGCTGCAAGTCAGCCTGCTAATATATCAGTGTTCAAAAGGGACCTGAATGTGATTACTTCTGTACCAAGCGAATTGTGTTTACATGTAAGTATCATTCTTTTTAATCCTTATTCTCCACTTAAGATTTTTAAGGAAATACCCCTTTTTTTTTGGTTGGTCATGGGGCTTGAACTCTGGGTGTAGGCACTGTCCCTCAGCTCTCCAGCTCAAAGCTTAGGTTCTACCACTTGAGCCACAACACCACTTCTGGGTGGTTTATTGAAGATAAGAATCTCACAGACTTTTCTGCCTGGGCTGGCTTCAAACCACAATCCTCAGATCTTAGCCTCCTGAGTAGATATAGGATTACAGGCATGAGCCACCAGCACCTGGCTTCTATTTGTATTAATAACAGAAAAGAAATTGATTTATAGATTGTATAGGGGATAGATTTCTATTTAAGAGGAAACTGTTTCTTCATGAATATTTTATAGTACTAATTTAATCATATCTTGGGGAATTTAATTTACTTCAACAAAAAGAAAGTAAAAATCATATATAGTCCCATGACTCTCCCCCCCCCACCCCACCCCCACCCCCCGCCAGATAATGCAAGTCACAGATAAAGAAGAGGCCATAAGTAGGAGGATCATAACCTGAGGCCTGCTCAGGCAAAAATGTGAAGCGCTACCTTAAAAATTAAATCTTAATAACTATTTCTCTGAAGTCCTTCTTTTTTTGGGGGGGGTCCAGTTGTGGGGCCTGAACTCTGGGCCTGGGCGCTGTCCCTCAGCTCTTCAGCTCAAGGCTGGCACGCTACCACTTGAGCCATAGCACCACTTCCAGCTTTTTTTTTCCTGCTTATGTGGTGCTAAAGAATCAAACCCAGGGCCTCATGCATTGCAAGGCAAGCGTTCAGCCCCTTCTCTGAAGTCCTTGAGATTAGAAGTGTTTTGAATTGTGGAGCCTTTCAAATTTTAGAATATTTGTAAATACATAATGAGATATCTTATGGACTGGACTCAAATCTAAACATAAAATTCTTTTATGTTTTATTGACTTATGCAGAGAGCCCGAGGGGCAGTTTATGTTTTTAGTGAACTTAGGTTTTAATTGCAACCACATTACTTGATATGTGGAATTTTCTACTTGTGCCATTATGTTAGTTTCAGATTCTAGATATTCAGATTAGGGATGTTCTCCCCTTCCCCTATAATGTATGTACCTTAATCTCCCTTTTTAAATTTTTATTTTATTGCCAGTCCTGGGGCTTGAACTGAGGGCCCTAGGCACTGTCCCTGAGCTTTTTTTGCTCAAGGCTAGCACTGTACCACTTGAGCCACAGCACCACTTCTGGCTTTTTCTGTTTATGTGGTGCTGAGGACTTCACGCATGCTAGTCAAGCACTCTACCACTAAGCTACCTTCCCAGCTCTCTTTCTTATTTTTCTTGCTGAGGATTGAACTCCATGTCGCATGCAAGCATTCTACTACTAAGCAATCCTTCAAAACAATTTCCCTTTTCTATCCCTTCAAATTATAAATATAACCTCTAGTAATTTGGTGCTTAATCCTTCCTGACATTTCTTTTGAGGAGTACAGTACTGGAGTTTGAACTCAAGGCCACAAACTCACTAGGTCGGCACTCTACCACTTGAGCCTCACCTTTACCCTCTATTGCTTTAGATTCAATTTTTCAGGTAGCGCTTCACATTTTTGCCTGAGCAGGCCTCAGATTATGATCCTCCTACCTATGGCCTTTTGTTTATCTGTGATGACACATATGCATGACCACATTAGGATTACTGATTAAGATTAGGTTTTATTAACTTTTTTTTTGACTGGCCTCAAGATGTGATCCTTCTGATCACCTCCCAAGTAGCTGGGATTCTACATGTGAACCACTGCATCTAGATTTCTCTTAAGCTTATATAGATCTATTTCCATACATAGCGCAATCTTCATTTCAAAAAATTGTGCTAAAGCTGGGCACTGGTGGCTCATACCTGTAATCCTAGCTACTCAGGAGACTGAGATCTGAGGATCACGGTTCAAAGCCAGCCCCAGCAGGAAAGTCCATGAGACTCTTACCTCCAATAAATCACTAGAAAACTGGAAATGGTGCTTGGTTCAAGCGGTAGAGCGCTCGCCTTGAGCTGAAGAGCTGAGGGACAGCACCCAGGCCCAGAGTTCAAGCCCCACGACTGACAAAAAAAATTGTACTATATGCATATTGGTCTTCAAGTTTTTCATTTTACAGTATGTCATGGACATCTTTTTCTATTTGTATTTATTTTAGTAGTTTACAAAGGGTTTTGGTTTTTTTGGTCGGTTGTGGGGTTTGAACTCTGGGCTTGGGCACTGTCCCTGTGCTCTTCAGCTCAAGATTATGCTCTACCACTTGAGCTACAGCACCACTTCTGGTTTTCTGGTAGTTTATTGGAGATGAGTCTCACGGACTTTCCTGTCTGGGCTGGCTTTGAACCGCAATCCTCAGATCTCAGCTTCCTGAGTAGCTAAGATTACAGGCGTGAGCCACTGGGCACCTGACTACAAAGAGGTTTTAATTCCACAAATCAGATTATGAGTACAATGTATCTTGATCAGTGTCACCCCTTCCATTGTTCATCTTTCCCTATCTCACCCATACCTTCAAGTTATGGACATCTTTTAAAATGTTCACCACTGTATTTCTTTGTCCTTGTTACTGTGGAAAGAATATACACTTGAGTATAAATTGAAAAATATAATATCCCTAAACTTAAAGACATTTTGCTAAATATAGCTAGATGTAGTTTTAATTTTAATATTGTATGCACCAACATAATTCTTTGTATATTTTTATATAGAAATCAATTCATGTTATTTTTGTTGTTGTTGGTCACGGGGCTTGAACTCTGGGTCCTGGGTGTTGTCCCTGAGATCTTCAGCTCAAGGCTAGCACTCTGCCACTTGAGCCACAGCACCACTTCCAGTTTTCTGATGGTTAATTGGAGGTAAGAGTCTCAGGGGCTTTCCTGCCCAGGCTTGCTTTGAACTGCTCTCCTCAGATCTCAGCCTTCTTAGTAGCTAGGATTACAGGCATGAGCCACCAGCACCAGGCTCAATTCATGTTATAGTTATCTAATATACTTCTTTAAATACGTATGCTATTCTGTTTTTTTCTAATAATTAATGAGTATCAAAAATAATTAATGAGTATCTATTCACACAATTATGCATATATTCACTTTATTTGATACCTACATAATTTTTCTCTGACTAGATAATCAAAAATTGAAATTTTAGAACCAGTATATATGCTTAAAACCAATGCAGAATGAGAACAAATTTAAAGTAGCTGTTACGTTACTCCCTCCCACTCTAAACACTGTTAAGGTTCTGGTTCTAAATTTTGCAATCATTGCTACTAGTAACTTGTCAGTAATATATTAACTAGTCCATTTCTTGATTTAGTAATCTGTATGTAGTACCTATTGGCTAGTTGCTATAGAGGATAAAGAAATTATTTTTATTTTCCCTACTTGTCTTCCCTATATAACTTTCAACTTTTGCCTACCAATTACTGGGGTCACAGGTAGGTACTATCACACCTAGTGAGAAAAAAGCTTTTAGAAGAAAGCTATTCTTATGATGACTGATCAGTTCTCTAATCCTAATCCATTTGTCCATAAATGCATTAATCTATTCAGTACAGTGGAGCCCTCATGATCTAATCATCTATTAAAGGTTCTACCTGTTTCTCCTTCTCAGTACTTCACAAGGAGAATTAAATTTCGACAAAGTTTGATATAGACATTCAAATTACAATTTTGGTTTCTCATGGCTAGTACAGAAAAATAAAAGTTGGTAGCACTAGTCAGTGAGCAGAAGTATCAGGTACCAAGTTGAGTCCTGATGTCAGACTGGCAGGTACCCAGTTGAGTCCTGGTGTCAGACTAGGGGAAGAAAAAGACAAGAAATCAAACTGATTTTTTTTTTTTTTTGCCTGTCATGGCGCTTGAACTCAGGGCCTGGGCACTGCTTCTGAGCTTCTTTTGCTCAAGGCTAGCACTCTACCACTTGACCCACAACCCTACTTCAGGCTTTTTTCTATTTATGTGGTACTGAGGAATCAAACCCAGGGCTTCATGCATGCTAGGCAAGCACTCTACCACTGAGCCATATTTCCAACCCACTCAAATTGATTTGTATGGGCTGTGGGGTTCAGTTCTTCAGGGATTTTTGGTGCCAGCGCTTGGGCTTGAATTCAGGGTCTGGGTGCTGTTTCTGAGCTTCTTTCGATCAAGGCTAGCATTCTACCACTTTAGCTATAATTCCACTCCAGCTTTTTGATAGTTATTATAGGTCATCTCATGGACTTTCCTGTCCAGGCTGGCATCAAAGCACAATCCTCAGATCTCAGCCTCCTAAGTAGCTAGGATTACAGTTGTAAGCCATTAGTGCCTGGCTATTCTTCAGTTTTCCTGAGTTTATCACTAATAGTTTTTATTGTTCGATGTTCTCTATATAAACTACTTGGTTATCTGTAACTAGGCATAGTCTTAATTCATTTCCTATTTTTCTTTTCTTTTTTTTTTTTTTTGGCGGTCGTGGGGCTTGAACTCTGGGCCTGGGCGCTGTCCCTCAGCTCTTCAGCTCAAGGCGAGCGCTCTACCACTTGAGCTACAGCGCCACTTCCGGTATTCTGGTGGTTTATTGGAGATAGGAGTCTCACGGTCTTTCCTGCCCGGGCTGGCTTTGAACTGTGATCCTCAGATCTCAGCCTCCTGAGTAGCTAGGATTACAGGCGTGAGCCACCAGCGCCCGGCCATTTCCTATTTTTCTTATCTTTTAATTTTTCCATATAATCATTTTCACCTCTTTATCCTTCTGAAACTTTTTTTTTTTTTGGGTCCGGTCATGGGGCCTGAACTCTGGGCCTGGGCGCTGTCCCTCAGCTCTTCAGCTCAAGGCTAGCGCTCTACCACTTGAGCCACAGGGCCACTTCTGGCTTTTTTCTTTTTGGTTATGTGGTGTTGAGGAATCAAACCCAGGGCCTCGAGCATGCAAGGCAAGCACTCTACCACTGAGCCACCTTTCCAGCCCCCCTTCTGAAACTTTTATACAGGGAGAATTGAATATGTTTTTTATGCCAGTCCTGGGACTTGAACTCAAGGCCTAGGTACTGTCCCTGAGCTTTTTTGCTCTAGGTTGATGCTTTATCCCTTGAGCCACAAAAAATTTTGGTGGTTAATTGGAAATAAGAATCCTATATACTTTCCTGCCTAGGCTGGCTTTGAATCACAATCCTCAGACATCATCTTACTGAGTAGCTAGGATTACAGGTGTAAGCCACTGGTGCCCAGCTGAATGGCTCAGTTTATATTGTATTTGCAAGCTCCTATTCAGTCACTTTTACATAAATAATTATTTTTTAAATTTATATTAACTTTTGTTCATTTGTTATCTTATGATGCAGTGTCAACAATGGGGATATATTTTGATTAATGTATTGTTAAACTTTTTATTTTCTGGACATCATAGAGTATGCTTGAACAAATCTAGATGGTATCACAATATACAGTAAGGCTGTCTGATTTAACTTATTGTTCCTAGGCTACAAATCTATATAGCATGTCACTGTCTAAAATCTATAGGCAACTCTATTTGTGTGCCTAAAATTAGGAAAGGGTACGGTCAAAATACTAGTCAACAGGAATTTTTCTGCTACCATTATAATCTTTTTTTGTGTCTGTTGTGGGGCCTGAACTCTAGGCCTGGGCGCTGTCCCTCAGTTCTTCAGCTCAAGGCTAGCGCTCTACCACTTGAGCCACAGCGGCACTTCCAGCTTTTCTGCTTATGTAGTGCTGGAGGAATCAAACCCAGGGCCTCATGCATGCAAGGCAAGCACTCTACCATTAAGCTACCTTTCCAGCCCCTCCCATTATAATCTTAAAAGACCACAATTCTATATGAAATCTATTGTTGAGAAAAATGTTTATTTATAGTGCCTGATATCTTTCTCTGTATTATTAATGTTACGTCCTTGGCTATTTCTGTTATTTAAGTATGCCTTTTTCTTTTTCCTTTTTCTTTATTGTTGTGGGCTTGAACTCTGGGCTAGGCTCTGTTCCTTTGCTCTTGTGCTCAAGGCTAGCACTCCACTGCTTTGGGCCACAGCTCCACTTCCAGTTTTCTGACGGTTAGTTGAATGGAGATGAGTCTCACAGGCTTTTCTGCCTGGGCTGGCTTTGAACTGTGATCTTCAGATCTCAGCCTCCTGAGTAGCTAGGATTATAAGCATGAGCTACTAGCACTCAGCTCCTTTCTCTTTTTTGTATCAGTATGGGGGCTTGGACTCAGGGCCTTCCATTCCTTAGCTTTTTTGCTTAAGGCTGGTGCTCTACCACCTGAGCCATACCTCCACTTCCAGTTTTCTACTGGTTAATTGGAGATAAGAGTGTCTCAGATTTGTCTGCCTGAGATGGTTTCAAATCTCTCTCCTCAGATCTCAACCTCCTGAATAACTAGGATTAACAGGCGTGAGTCACTGGCACCTGGCTAGAAGATCTTACATTGTTGGGTTTCTACACATGTTTGGTGCATTTTAGAGTATGTTCCCTTTTTATTCCCTAGTAAGATTCTTTGTTCATTTGTCTATAAGTACAATATGTAATTAATGTAGCCTCCCTTTCATTATTGTGAGAAAGGCATGGAACATGCTTTCTGGAACTGTATATTGCAACATTTCCCTAATGTGTCTGGAGGATGGCTCAGTAGTTAAGTCGTAAAGTCAGGAGGGCTTACCATTCTTTTTTTTTCTTTTTTTGGGGGTCCAGTCATGGGCCTGAACTCTGGGCCTGGGCGCTGTCCCTCAGCTCTTCAGCTCAAGGCTAGTTCTCTACCACTTGAGCCACAGCGCCACTTCCGGCTCTTTTCTTTTTGCTTATGTGGTGCTGAAGAATCGAACCCAGGGCCTCAAGCATGCAAGGCAAGCATTGTACCACTGAGCCACCTTCCCAGCCCTCACCATTCTTTTGGATGTTTTCCCTTCCTTCACTGCCCTGTCTCTTGGCCTTGAGCCATTCTTTATACTCTTGTTGGGGATGAAGAGAGTTACTTGGCTGCTGTTTGTAGTGTTTCTAGGGTTAGGAAGGTGGCTCAGTGGTAGAGTGCTTGCCTTGCATGCATGAGGCCCTGGGTTCGATTCCTCAGCACCACATAAGCAGAAAAAGCCAGAAGTAGCGCTGTGGCTCAAGTGGTAGAGCTCTAGCCTTGAGCTGAAGAGCTGAGGGACAGCGCCCAGGCCCAGAGTTCAGGCCCCACAACCAATAATAAATAAATAAATAACAGATTCTACATATGTCATGGTCTACTTTTTATTCCTTCAATCATTTATAATTTATGTCTAAATATTTTCTATTGTGTCTAAGGATGTGGATTAATAAGAAAGCTACAACTGCCAGACACTGGTGGCTCACACCTGTAATCCTAGCTACTCAGGAGGCTGAGATTTGAGGATCACGGTTCAAAGCCAGCCCAGGCAGGAAAGGCCCCAAGACTCTTACCTCCAATTAACCACCAGAAAACTGGAAGTGGTGCTGTGGTTCAAGTGGTAGAGCGCTCGCCTTGAGCTGAAGAGCTCAGGGACAGCACCCAGGCCCAGATTTCAAGCCCCATGACCAACAAAGAACACAAAAAAAGAAAGATGTAACTTTAATATGCCATTCTGACTATTTACTACATATTTTAAATCCCTGGACCAATTTAAATTGTAATATTATTGAGATACTTCTTTTTATCTCATTGAAGTAGTATATTTATTAATACAGAATAGGACTTTAGAAACTAAAAGCTGAGTGCTCCAGATTTTACTTTTTTTGTACTATTACTAGGACTTGAACTTGGGGTATCAAGCCTATCACATGGCTTTCTTGCTCACAGATGACATATCACATCAGACGTGCCTCCATTCTGGCATTTTGCTGGTTAATTGGAGATGCAGTTTTATGAACTTTTCTACCCTGGCTGGCTTCAAACCTTGATTCTCAGATCTCAGCATCCAAAGTACCTAGAATTACAGGTGTAAGCCACTGCTAGCCAACCATACTTTTATTTTGATAACTTCTGTTCTGCCCTAAATGCTAACAATGTTTACCCAAGACAGTAGGCCATACAAATGCTAAATCCCATTCTTTGTGCTTTTAACCATTTTGATTAGTAATGACCATTCTATTGTTTCCCAGGGTGTTTGTGATTCTGTGTATTAGCTTTTGGATTAAGGGCTTGGAAGGTGGCTCAGTGGTAGAGCGTTTGCCTTGCATGCCTGAGGCCCTGAGTTCCATTCCTCAGTACCACATAAGCAAAAAGGAATAAAAAAGCCGGAAGTGGTACTGTGGCTCAAGTGGTAGAGCACTAGCCTTGAGCTGAAGAGCTG